GTCCACAGAGCAAGTTCCAGGATGGCCAGGGCTACACAGAGAAACTGTATCTGAAAAAGGAGGAGAAGGAAGAGGAAAAGGAGGAGAAGGAAGAAGGAAGGAAGGAAGGAAGGAAGGAAGGAAGGAAGGAAGGAAGGAAGGAAGGAAGGAAGGAAGGAAGGAAGGAAGGAAAAGATTTTTGATTGAATAAAAGTATGGAGTATACACTGCTCCCAGAAGCCATCAATTGTTACATGAAAATCCCAGTGCCAGGAGTAGGGTTCTTCTCTATGAATTGCTAGGGAGGCCCCAAAGGCCCCCAAAAAACAATATAGGTTAATCCCATTGCTTTTGATTACCCACAAGAACTAGACGGTAAGACCCTATTGCTAAAGACATAACATAATTTGTCTATAGGACACAGAGGTATTAAGGGAGAACTCGGGTGACAGCTTCCTCCCTGTGGGCTATTTTCATAGTGCTGGAGGGTACTATATAGAATGTTAGGTAAGAAAAGTCACCAATGGTTTTACCCAGCTGTGGACCCATGTGCTGCAAAACCAACCTGCCAAGCAAGATGTGCCAACTGAATAGTAACATGATTGTTACGGTGATAACCAATTATTTTCTGGTTGGATTTGAGGCCTCCTCCACTAGAGGGGGTAGATGCCTGGTCAACAGCCAATGGCTAGGGAGGTCATAGGCCCTAGTGAAGAACTAGTAAAGAACTTGTATTTTACCAAATGGATGTGTTTATATCCACAGATTTTGTTTATACCTACAGAGTAGTGCTGCTTTCAGTCTCAATCAGAGACTTCATTTTGCAGTGGGTGGAAATAAAGGCAGAAATTCATTACTGGTCAAACCACTAGAAATTATTGACTGTTGCGTTCTGGGCCTTAAATGGAACATCTAAATCACCCCTCAGTGAACACCCTAGAAGAGGAGGCACAAAGAGAACCCGAGGATGGAGAGAAGTGCCATGGAACTCTCTTCTGGAATGACGGGCCTGTTGCACCCACAAACTTACAGAAGCTGTGCTAAACCTGCACAAGACCTGCTCCTGACTGGGCCCCTCAACCTAACATTTTGGGGCTGGGAGAGCCTCCTCAGGCCCCATCTCTCCCTGAGGAGCCATAGGCAATTAATGATTGCTAGGAGAGGGGAGTCACGTTCCGCAGTGGGGACATAATCCCCACCCATGTCTCTGCGAGCAACGCTAATGAAATGCAGTGGCTCCTGCACACAGAACAAGGACATGAAAACAGGAGAAGAGGGGCTTGTTGGGAAGACAGGGTTTGGAGAGTGAGGACAGGAGGATAATGAGGGAAATATGATCAAAGTACGTATTATATTTATATGTATATAGTTGTGAATAAATGATAAAAAGGGGAATGTTCAAAAAAATTTTAAAGAAAATTGTTGACCTTAAACTAATAAAAGCCTATACATCAGAACATCAGAAGCTGCAGAACATCACAGAAATGTATTAGACCTTTGAGGACAGAGTTAATTCAGCCCCATCATGTTAGCATGCTCATTTTTGCTGTACCTTCTATTTGTTATTAAAAGCATGAACTCTCAAAAAGAGAGAAAGAAGTAAGATGTTAATTTGAAAACATAAATGGAAAGCTGGAGTCACTACGGTAATGTCATACAGAGCTGACTCCAGAGTAAAGCCAGTTATTGGGAGTTAGGAGGAGCATCACATAATGAACAAACAGTCAGCACTCCTAGAAAATCTAACAATCCTGAACATCTATATGCCTAGCAACAGAGCCTCAAAACACACAACAGAAAACAAAATGCAAAAACTATTTCTTATGTCTTCTATAAAAAGTATAGGCCAGCAAGATGGAGGGAACTACTTAATAGAAGAGAACAGCTCTTGAAAGTTGTCCTTTCACACACACACACACACACACACACACACACACACACACATATACACAAGAAACAAAGAAAGTAAATGTAATCTTCAAATTCTCTCTCTCTCTCTCT